ATTTATGTGGGAGGGGTGTCGGAGGAAAAAAAATGAGAAAATTGAAGCCATAGCTGGATTTGAACGATGTACATAGGGGTTTCCTTTGTCCCCCAGAACTTGGTCTCAGAATGATTGTCGGGATTTAGTTGATTATCCGGAATAGGATTAATATACCTAAGCACTGTTTTATTGCATGCTTATGTTGGTAAGGAAGACTTGAAACACTTGGGTTTGGTTATTGATGATGATAGATGTTTTTTCTGTAATGACAATGAAGAGACAGTTGATCACCTGTTTATGCGATGTAAACTTGCCAAGGAAATTTGGCAAAAACTCAGAGTGGATCCAATTTCAAGAGAGCTGGATAGCAGTAAAAAAACTAGAAGAGGCTTATATATGTGTGGAAAGGAAAGAAGATCAAGAGAGGAATTCTTTTTGCAACAATTGTACCAGGGTACTATCAGATTTTGAAAGCAAGAAACCAACGGATACAGAAATGGGGATGTGATTTTTAAAGATATTTGTAGGGAAGTCAGGTGAAGGGTACGGTTTGGCGTCATAGTGAAGAGGCCAAGTGTAAGCAGTCTTGAAAACTCTGAAAATTTTTTAATAGCACTATTAGGTTATGTTTAAGTTAAAATTGTTGTTGAAGTGCGATTGAGTTATAAGCTTATTGTAAATGCTTGTAAATAAGAAACAATTTTGATGAAGAGGCAGTATAGTTCACATTTTACCTTTAAAAAAAAATAAAAAAGAATCATTTTCAATATGTCCATACTTATTAGATAATTGCAGGCCTTATTGGATTAGTTTGATCAGACAATTTATGTTAGTTATTATTACATAAAAATCGAGTAGATTGATTCATTTTTTAAATAGTCAGAAAAAATTAACATCCAAATTATTTACATAATAAAATTTTAATTTGATTAGTAAATTTAGATCATAATAATATCACATTAGTTACATTCTTTTTTTTCTTAACTCATTTTTAACCATTACCTAATATGCTTATTCTTTGTATTACCTATTTTTCTTTATATTCTATTTTACAACCAATAATTAAACGAGTATGTAGCATTATTTTCACATCTAATAATTCGAGTTCCATATTTATCTTGCCTCAATCTGTAACCAGCATGGAAAAAAAATACGATGTGAATTTCTTTGGGAAGTGAAAGGTGAGGATAGATCAGTTCCTCTGGTAAAGTGGGTGGAAAACTGCAAAAAGAAGAGTGAATTTGAGGACTTGGTCCCCTTAATGCAATGATATGGAACAGAGCTGCAATAGTAAAACAGGTATGGCATCTGGCTCTGAAAAAAGAGTCTTTGTGGTTTAAAGGGATACATGGTGTCTACATTAAACATGCAATTTCTAGGAAATGCAGCCGAAAATGATACCAGCTGGCAATGGAAGCAGATCCTGAAGACAGAAGAGCTGGCTAAAGACGGTTTTGTTGGAACAAAATGGAAATTGAATTAGAAAAGTGTATACACAATAGCTTCCGGGTACCACTGGCTGTCATGTCTGGGAACTTATCTACCGGAGGCTAACTGTATTTGGTCAAAGGACAACATCCCAAAGCATGCCTTCATTGAATGGTTGGTTTGGAGAAAGAGAATCCTCACAAAGGACAAAGTGAATCAAAATGGGAATGACTGATGTAAACTCTGATTGCATACTTTGCAAGCAGCAGCCAGAAATTGTTGACCACTTGTTTTTCCATTGTAGCTTCTCTAAACAGTTACTGGAACTAGTAAAAGGTTGGTTGCAATGCAGAAGACTTGCAGAAAATGATAGCAGGTAGAAAGCTCAAGTTTTGAACACGTGGAAAGGGCAAAAGCTCAAGAGAAGGATTCTATTGGCCACCTTTGCTGTTGTTATCTATCATTTGTGGCAATAGCATACTGTTTGAGCAGCAAGAGAAGACTCCAGGTGATATCATCAAGCTGTTCCTATTGGAACTAAAATACAGATTCGGTTGCAGGACAAGGAAGAGGAAAGTAGCAGCTGAAGAAAGGATTCTAAGTCATGTTTTCTTTAAGTGTAATTGATAGAACTGTGAAAGATGTGTATCTAAAAAAATTGTAATTGTAATGAGGTTCTTGATAACCTCTGCAATTTTGTAAGTTAGATGCCAAAAAACAGTTGTGTATCAAGTTTTCACTGCTTTGGTGATAATGTATATAATTTACTTTTTCACCAAAAAAAATTCTATAATTTTAATTTAAAAATAACAACCAAGATTAATAAAATGAACAAGAGATACGAAACGAAAAAAAATATATATAAACATAAAATTTAATGATTATGAAGAGAAAAAGATAATGTCTCAAGAATTTACTTAAGTAAAAAGCGGTAGGCATATCACTTATTTTTAGATTCATATTTGTACTTGTATTTCAGACCCACTTAATTTATTAAAATGTCCTATTATTAGTTATGAAACGCACTTAAAAATTAAATACTTAATTAGTTAACTTCTTAATCAATTAAGTTGTTATGAGATCACGTTACCAAACAGTGTCAATCGACTTTAACACTTGATTAGTTAAGTTTACGTGTTAAATATGTTATTAAACTGGGCCTTCATGTTAAGTTCCTTTTGTTTATGTTGTTGCATTCATGATTTAATATTCGAGTCTTATCAGTGGATTTCTTAAAATTTTCATTTCTTGCAGTACTGAATATATAATATGTTTGGGTAGTATTATTTGATTTCTATGTTGAAATTATAAAATATATAAACAAATGATGGAGAGAAAAATTTTCGTTGGTCCATTATAATTCAACAATGATTTAATTGTATTTACAGTTTTACATTGAATCCGATGTAGGAAAAAAAAATTAAAAAATAAAATATTACAAAATATTGATGACATCTTATTATACCCATAATAGTCTAAACCATTGTGAATACTCTGTTTATTAAGGAATAAAATACACAATCACAAACAAGATCATTCAAATAAATGGGCTTCTATAAAAAAAATATATAAAAATCCCGTTCCCCTTTCCAAAAAAATGGTATTTATTGAATATTTAATTCAAATTTTTTTTCTTTTTCTCTGCTAATCAAACTATTTGTTGCTGTTGTTGTTGTTGGTTGGATATATTCTGAAAAATGTTGATATCAGCTGGATCTATTATGTTACTATTTGTTATTCGGTTTTTGTTATTCAGTTGTTGACACCGTCCAAGTCAAATAAAGATTCAGCCCCCAGAAAATTGATGAGATTGTTTGAAGTTTCTCTGGCTGCAATCTTATTTTCAATTAAATAGAATCGAGGCCAAAGTTGAGAGGCGTAGAGAGAGATGGCGATGAAATTTTTTTTGTTCTTAGATAATTAAATCTAATTGAGAAGAATGGATTTGCGTGCAACATGACTAATTAATATGCCCAATTTGAGGGATAAATTGAGAACATCGAGTAATTATGCGTTAACTGCTTCTGAATTTTTAAATTAATAATATCATTAATTAGTGCATATAATATCCATTTAACATATAAGATGACATCATATTTTGCTATATATTTTGTACAGAAAAATATTTCATTCTACAACATGTCTATAGTGAAAGCTGCTTTAAGTAGGAAAAAGGGATTGTTATATTTGCATATCATTTTCATCGACAAATGTAATAATTAGAGAACGTTGATTTATTTTTGGTGTTTTATATATCTCAAGGTTTAAATTTTGTCTAGGAGTGTCTTAGTACTTTTTGATGTTTTAATTTGAGATAATAAATATTCTGATTCAATTTACACAGATGCTAAGCATAAAACCTATATGTTGTTATTATTTAAGTTATAGATCTTTCCATCTCCTCCCCCTACCGTCACTGGAGCATTCCGTTCCCCAAAGGGACTCGCCGCCGTATCCCACCGAACCCCACTTCAACCTCCATCGAACTCCACTTCTTCTCATCCTCCTCCTGCAGGAACTTCCCCGATTAAACTCTGATGAAGCTTCGGGGCATCGATAAGAGATTTCCATTCATATAAGCAAGAAAGAGAATAAAGCAGAAAAACGGAGATCCCGGTGCTAAAGATACATTAGCGGCCACACCTAAATAAAATAGGAAAGTAGATTGAAGAATATCACTAATTAGACTGCAAAGGAACCAATCGAACTAATTGATTGCTGGGTCTAGTAAATCTCGTGAAAAGGAAGGTCTCGGTGTGATGATTGCTGATCTCCATGAAGAATTGATTGAGATCCAGAGCAGCGGCGGCGGTGAAACCCGGTGGAGAAGTGGCTGAATTTTCAGAATGGAGAAGAGAGAAAAGAAATTGTTCTGTGTATTTTTTGTTCGGTGGCCGCAAAGAGAAGAAAAATAAAAGGTAAAAATGAATCAATCCTATATATACTATCAGGATTAGGGTTACTAATATTATGAAATTCTAAAAATACCCCTAAAAATATATAAATTACAAATAAACGGGTGACCCGGCGGGTTGACCCTAACCCGACCCGTGTGGGTCCAAATTTCCAACCCTAACCCAACCTGTTTATTATACAGTCGTGTTCGTGTCGAAATTCCGGGTCGTGTCGGAGATTGCCAGCCCTATTGATGTTGTTGTGGTTAAAAAAATTTAAAAATTGTAAATAGGTGAAACTGAATAATATATAAAAATATTTACAATATCCACTGATCCTTATTTGTCAAATTTTTTAATTGGTTATCTATTTCACGCACACGTTGTAAAAATATTTTTTTATGTATAAGATCACCACTGTAAATATAGGAAAAATATATCTATAACTTTTTCTTAAAAAAAACTGATAATATTACTACATGATTACTAGTATAAATTCAAAACATAATTTTAAAATACCTATCTTGACAAAATATCTATAATTATTTTTTAGAAAAAAAAAAAAGAAATGAGTAAGATTACCTTAACAAACAAAAAAAAAATCTAAAAAGTCAAAAAGTAATCATTTATCTCTCTTTCTAAAAAAATTCTCTCTCACATCTCTCTAGATATCCTGTCTGAAACCCTATTTCCACTATGGCGGCCAGCCGACCGCCGGATGAGAATGGGCAGAAACTTCTATCTTTTGCCCAAATCTTAAATGGCTCTAAGACAAATCCACGGAATATATTCAATCATTCTGGAAAAACACAATCAAAAGCCCCATCGATCAAATCCCAACCATCTGTTTACAAAGGTGAACCGGCGTTCCTATTGACAGAGGAAGAAGATGAAACCTTGGCAGCGCCATTCAAGCTCTCGCTCGTAGGAAAATTTTCCAAAGGAAGTCGAAAATGGATTTCTTGTGGCAACAATTTCAGAAAATTGGATTCAAAGGTAATTAATCACTTGGCATGATTGATCATAGGCATATCCACATCCTTTTTTATCTGGAAGAAGACTATCATCGTTGTTGGATTAAAGGACTTTGATCTTTTGATCAACACGTTATGCGAGTGCTTAAATGGACTCCTCAATAGTTAATTCAACATTGAACATGAATCATCCATTGTCCCGGTATGGATCGCTTTCAAAGGATCGCCAATACATCGGTTTAATGAGGAATATTTGAGCAGATTGGAAAAGTATTGTTGGAACGCCCCTCAAGATCAACATTTCCACTTTGAATTTATCGCGCTCATCGATTGCTAGGGTTTGCATCGAGATTGATTTCCTACAAGATCTGCCCCAAAGAGTTCTTTTAGGAACATAAGTATATTCGTATTATCAGGGAATCACATACGACCTCTCAGAGTATTGTTTGGAATGTAAGAAGGTTGGACATGGAGTAGAGGATTGCTGTTTCGAGGTAAAATATTGCCTATGGCTTTCCTTTGAATTGATGTTCACGAAGTGTTATTGGGCGGCTAAGTTGGGCTACTAGCAAGTGTTGATGGTACGAACCGTGAATGGACGTGGCCTGGACGTGTGACAGAAAGCAAAGTGAGGCTGAATGGAAGGGTTGGTGGTTACAAATTAGTTACAAGTTTCATAGTAGGTAGTTATTTCAGAGATTTGAATTTGTAAGTCATTTAACTTTTATTTCCTACTTCATCCTAGGTAGTTGGGGATGTCAACTGGGCTAAAAACCAGAGGGAGAAAAGAGAGAAAGAAGAAAAGGGAAGATGTAAGAATGCCTTGAGTTTTGAGAGTTTGAGGAGAAGTCTAACCCAAAAGTAGACTTGTGTGGGGGAATAGTCAAGCCCGGAAATTGTTGGCTGGGGAATGACAGCCTAGAGATAGGTTCCGGTCTCATTTAAGACGTGAATCTCTTGTAAATTTCGTGTTGAGTAATAAAATTACAAGTGATTGAGACTTCGGTCCAAATATAAATGTTTTGTGTGCCTTGAAATGATTTTTTTAATATGTTGCTAAGCGAATTTCTTCCGCTGCGAGATTACTTAGCAGGCTGGTGGGTTTTAGTTGGGCAAAATCCATGCCGGTAGATCGCCAAATTCATAGAAACAGATTTGGAGTCTAACATCTGCCGTCGTGGAAAACCAAACGTGCCGATCACAGAGTTTTCGAGAGCAACAATGAACATCAACGATAAAATAAAAATTTCAGCTCCTGCAAATAAGGCTAATTGGAAACCAAAGCCCCAAGTCAATAAAGAAAAAGAGGATCTTCAAAAATAGGAATCAAGGTCATCTTCTTCAGGTTTGTCCAATAAAGAGAAGCATGAAACCCTAATCGATGTTGCGGATCAGAGTCCCCAGAATTTGTCATCAGGGAAGAGGCGGATTACAAAAGAGCAACTACCTACAATTCTTGAAAACAGTAAAGAAGGAGATAAGACGGATTCCTCTTGGGATGTCCAAGATCAGAGACAACAACTGGAACCCGCGGCAATCCCGCAGGTTGGCTAGTCTTCGCGATTTGTTGTTTTAGATGAACTACAAGATGATCAGGCTCTGGAAACGATCACCACTGTTGAAAACGAAAAGTTAGAGCAGCTCGAGGGAATTGTGGAATCTGAGGCTGAAACAGACTCGGAACAAGAAGAGGTCACTATAGCTGACGCCTCAATTTCGGATACTAATACGACGGCAGCTGGATATCGACGGACGGATGATACAACGATTGGACTTTGCTCTAATTCGGGAGACTATGAAAAAAATGCGAGGATTGTTGCTTCTTATGGTGAGGACCTCAAAAAACTTAAGCTTGGCAGACCAAGGGGTTCCAAGAAAAAGCAACAAGTGCAACAAACGGAAACTCGTAAATCTACGAGACTCAATGGCGGTTCATCTCCAAAGTTTTCTGACGAATAACCAACTAATATGGAATATACGCGGCGTTGGAAACAAGCCATCCGGTTGTTGTCTAAAAAATTTGGTTATGCAGCATTCTATCTCCTTTGTTGTGTTACTAGAGCCTATGTTGCCTGTATCAAAAATGGAGGAACTGAAAAATAAACTTCGGTTAAAAGAAGCATATGCATCTGTGACCGGAAAAATTTGTGTCTTTTGTTCATCTGAATGGTCGATTAAGCTGCTTTGAGGATCTGAGGTAGCGCTCCATTTGAAAATTGAAAATCAAAAGATAGGAAGAAAGGTTTTAATGTCAGCAGTTTATTCAAAATCTTACACGTCAAGAGAGATAAAGTTTATGGACTGAATTGCAAGGATTTCTGGAAAATAATGCTGGACTTTCATGGCTGATTGGTGGTGATTTTAATGTAATACGGCATATAGAGGAATACGAGGGGAACTCTCAACCTGATAGAGTAGAAATGGAGGATTTTAATTTATGGATAAATAGTTGTAATTTGACAGAATTGTTCACCGTTAGGCAACCTCTTCCCTTGGACAGGAAATCGGCAAAACAGAAGGGTGTTAAAAAGGCTTGAATGTATCTATTTAACCAGGAATGGATGGCTTTCTTTCAGGCTTCATCGGTACATCATCTCAATAGAACGACGTCGGATTATGCACCTTTGCTCCATCAATTTCGGGTAGATATCGAAACGAGGCCTAGTATATTTCGGTTTCAAAACATGTGGATGCGTAGAGAGTTTTCTGGATGTGGTAAGGGAAAGCTGGGAACAAGAGCTTCCTATGTCGGGAATGGTTGGTTTTTCAATGAAACTTCGAAGGTTAAAAGCGCGCCTCAAAGATTGGAACAAAGCTGAATTTGGAAATGTTTTTCAGAATTTAAAAGATGCTGAAGAGGAAGTCCAGCTTAAGGAGGAGATTTATGATCAAACCCGCAATGATGAAGACGGAATGGAATTGCATAAATCGCAAGCTCGCCTTCTATCAAAGCTAAGAGAGCAAGATCATTTTCTTCAACAACGATCAAAGCAAAAATGGCTTCGTGACGGGGATGCAAATACAGCTTACTTCCATGCATCATTGATTGGAAAAAAAAAGCTTGGCATCCATAAAATCAGAGGACGTACGGGTTCATGGTTAACAAGAAGAGAGGATATAGAAGCATAAGCAGTATCTTTCTTCAAAGAATTATTCGCTCCGAAGCCCCCCTATATAAACCAGGTTCGAACCTCCAGTTTCTTCACCTACTTCAAATTCCAGCCGACGATTCTCTCTTTCCGTCTCCGTTTCTCTCTTCTCTTCAATTCTCTTTTATCCGTCGACCTCATAAACGATGAATTTCGGACGCTTCTATTCGACCTCCCTTTCCCAGTCATCTTCACGCTCCCCCGGTCGCCGCCAATTTTGTGAGAACAACCAGCAAGCTTTGACATGAAGGCGAAGGCTATTTGCACTGGCCGACGGTGAATTTGCTTCCTCTTCTACTTAAATCCATGATTTAAACCTCATTTAAATTGTTCTATCTTCTAAAGCTGTAATTCTATAGATTTGCAATACTATTATTATATATTATTGTGATTCAGCCGATTGCAACATTGAAACTAATTAATCATATTATGTTCAATTCAATTCAGTTGTCCAGCTTCAATTCATCGAAGGAAAAGGAGAAGAAGGGAATAACGAGGGAAGAAGAGGCGGAGGTGACTTCAATTTTCAATTGAATTAGTGTACTTAGAATTGAAGCTGAATTCTTTGGCAATTTATTTTTGTTTTATTTATTTATTTATTCTTAGTATGGAAGAAGGTCCAGTTGAAATTTGAAACATTAGGGGAAATTGATATGGCTGCAAACGTTATATTGCTGTGGCAGCTTCTTTCCAGTGGAGGAGCTTTGTACCCTTCTGTGAAGCTTTGGAAACCGTAAGCTCTCCATTCCCTCGGGCGCACTGTTGATTCCGCTTTGTTTCGCTCATCTAATTTGATGATGTTTTGAATCATAATCAGAGGTTTTATTGGGTTTTTGTTTTGTTACCCAATTACTGCTTGATTTCTCTGGCAAGTACTTGAGGTTTTGATAGATTCGGCCAGGTTTTTCTTTGTATTTTTATTGGTTTAGTTTCGCCGCATGGATCCACCGGTTCCTTGTTTTTTTTTTTCTTTTGGTTCAGGTTATTAGGTCTCTTTTCTTTGTTTGTTTCCGTATCTTGGTCGTAGTTGTCTGGATCTTATTTTTTCTCTGTATCTTTGTTTGTTTCCGCCGATGTTTCTCACGCTTTTCTCTTTGTGAATTTCATTTAGGAGATTCTCCATCACGAACCAAATGACAGTGTACAACATGTAGGAAGGCTTACCTCTAGGACACACTTTTTAGGTGAAGATATGCCTGCTTCTACTCAATTTTTAGGTACTGAATCATAGAATATTATCCCCATATGTCTTCATTGTGTTTCATCATAATCTGGACTAATTTGTTCATGAAGCAGTTAGACCTCTCTTTCTTTTTGTAGGATTATTAGACATCTCTTTATTGCTTTTTTACTCTATATTAATGAGAACAGAAAAACATAATATTGTGTTCTGCTTTAGCCTCTTCTGACTCTTCCGTCTACTCTTGACATACTGATAAATTTATCTCCCAGTGGAATAGTAGTAAGTCTTTTCGAGAAGATTATGAGAAGAGATTTTATCTTCTCTTGCCAATCAACAGATGAATAGGGATGGACGAATGAGTAACTACAACAAGAAGCCTATTTTGTTGGTTGTGAAAGCGTTCCCACCTGAAGCCAAGGTTATATCAAGAGTGTCTGTGAAACAGGCACCAAAAGAGGGCTCCAGTTCTTTAAACCCCTAGCTCAAAGGCAGCTGATGTAGTAGATAAAGAGGATTCCTATGTGCCTGAAAAGGTGATGAAAGATCCTCCAAAGGTGATTGAGTTTGATGAGAAGACGAAACTCAAAAACAGCTCAAAAAGCTGTTATCAAGGCCCAGAAGGAAGCTGAGAAGAAACTCAAGGTAAATCAAATGGCATTTAAATTTTCTCCTTGTGCTAGATTGTTAGGATTGGCGCGTTACATTACAGGTTTGCTTATAATAAAATGGACGTTTTTTTTAATGGTATTACAGGATCGTGAAAAGAGAGCAAAGAAGAAAGCTGGCTTGTCAGGTGATGTTCCAGAGGATGAGGAACAAACTGAAAGCTGTTACTATGATGCTGGTGATGCTGAGAAGGCAGAAGCAACAGTTGTACTCCAGCACCATCAAAGAGACAAAGAAATGAAGGAGAATCCAATGAGACATAAAGTTGTTAGGTTCAGGGATTCAGATGCACTTCCAAGAGCTATACTCAAGCACAAAAAGGCAGCAACCCTAGATCATCTACTTATATTAAAGAAAAGCAACTACACTGCTTCAGCTGCTTTGGTGTTGGTGCTGCTAATCGTAGTTGGTTATTATCACTATATGGTTTCAGCCTCAGGTTAGAATAATATCCTAAGAGAGTTCAGCGGAGGAAGAATTTTGGTTTTGCTTATCATTTTACCGAGTTGAGAGATTGATTAAGCCTGAACTCTGTACAAGTCAACATAATAAATGTGCATGTCTTTCTCTTTTGCTTTAGTTGTCTGTTCTATGAATTTTTGTTTTGGCTATTCTTTTACTCGCGCAGTTATTTGTTTTGGATGAAACGTTTTTTTTTTTTTCCTATTTCTGTTTGGAAGTCAGGCCTCTTTGGCTGAACGCTCAGACAACTTAAGATGCCTACAAAAAGCAAACTGCTTAAGCAAATGGGAAGTTTGAATAAAATGGCGGCCCTCTGAGTCAATAAAGTTTCATTCATTCTGTAAACAAGTTTTATTCTTTTAATATAAATTTTGATGCAACAAAAAAGTCTATCATCAAAATGATTAACAAAACGTAATCTAAAATAGAGAAACTACAGTATAATACATGTCGTATAATGTAGTCATGGTAGCGTTTCTTTAAAACCTTGCAATGTAAAACATTACGGTTGGCCTTAATTTCTAAAATAAAGAAAGAAATGAAAGAATTGAGGATATGATTTTCTGAAGTACTTGTAAAAAAAAAAAAAACATTCTAATAATATGTGCTTCAATTGTGGCAAGGCTAAGTAAAATTATTATTGCGATAATTATGCCATTTATTGAAAGAGCAATGATACAGATAGTGAAAACTTATAGTGAAATTGGATAGTGACAAATGAAAAGACAAATACACCATACACTTACTAAACATATCTAATTATTAATCAAAAGGTAAAAATGTAATTTTGGGGGGGAAAAAAACTTCAATGGGAAAGTGATAAAAAACTAGGTGCCATAAAAAACTTTAGAAGTAAATAACGCAATAAGCAAGAGATCTTCCAAGAAATGTGATATTGAAATTTTCCAATTCGCGCTACTTTAATGAAAAATTATTTTAAACCACATCTAATTAACTTTTCGTTTTTGTTATTCATTCGTCTCAAAATTTAATACAAAATAAATTCTATGATAAAATTTTCTATAATAAAGTACTGCAAAAATAAACTGGTCGCGTGTGACATTAGGTTTTTAATTAGGGGTAAAACTGTTATTTAAATAATTTCACAAGTTTTGTTTAATTAAAAATTGTGATGTTAAAACGACGTGGTTTTGGCCTTTCTATATACACAAAATCTAGAAAATCATCAAAATTACAAAGACAATGTCAAGAATGAATTTTTCTAATTTTAAATATTCTAAAATCATTATATATATTAAAGAAAAGAAAGATAATCGATACGTGTCGCTACTATTAAGCATCACTTTTAACTTATTATCATTTTAGCCCTTAAAGTTATATTCATGTGCTACTTTGTCTTCAATTTTATCGATTTTACATTTTCAAGGACGATTAATTGTGTCTAATCCCTAAAGTCCCCTTGCCTATAAATAAGCCACATGCATCTAGACATAATTTACGTATTTTTTAATATATTTTTTAATCCAAACATAACATTAGTTAGTGGTGACAATTTTTATTATACAACTTTTCAAAATTTTTGTTATAATATTTTTGACCAGATCTTACAAATATACATCTCATAAATAATATCAATACCTCTCATTTTGATCTAAAATTGATTAATCAAAAAAATTTTACGGTTTTAAGAAATATTAATAACTACATTATCTAATTAATTCTTTTGGAAGATAAATTTTCAACATTGACAAACCCGCGCAAAGCGCGGGACACATACTAGTAATAATAACAAAACCAACTTAACTAGAAAACAAAAAAAATTACATCAAATTATTAATAGACTGCGTTGCGCATCGCGCGACAAATGCTCGAGTACTAGTTCCTAAGAAAACTACTGCCACCTCCTTTGCTGACTTCCGTCCAATTAGCTTATGCAACTTCCTTAAGAAAATTTTTACGAAGTTGCTAACAGAGCGCTTGAAAAAGGTACTTATTCGCTTAATCTCAAAAGAGCAATCAGCCTTCTTGGCCGGTAGAGACATTGTCGGTAACATTCTTATGACTCAAGCCCTTATTCTATTCTTAGATCATCCAGCTAGAGGAGGGAATCTCCTCTTAAAGCTTGATATGATGAAGACATTCGATCGACCTACAAAAAAAAAAAGGGATTTAGAGACCAACAGATTCTGGTCACTACAATGGCCTTTGGTGACGAGATTTGGTCACCAAAACCCTTTGGTGACCGGATGGTGACCAACTTTTGGTGGATCGACTAAGCCTCGTCGCTAAAGGAACCTTAGATGACCAACCGCTGAGAGTAAAGTGACCAGCAGAAAAGTTGGTCACCAAATTTTGTTTGGATAGCCCGGGCAGCAAATTTTTGTGACCAACACGATGACCTGCTTGGTTGGTCAAAAATTTTTGAATTTTTTTCACTAATGATTGGTGATCATTGGTGACCAGGCAGTTAGTAGCCAATAATAATTTTTAAAAAGTTTTATAATTTGTGACTAGGTAGTTGACGTAAAAGTCATGGTCACTAGTTAAAATCTGGTGATAAAAAATGGCTCACAATAATATTTAATTATAAAATCCCAATTGGTCACAAAAGTTCCACCAACATTAATGACCAGCAATTTTGGGTTACACTATAATCGTCGAAAATGACAAATTACTTGATGCCAAATATAAGATTTTAAATTAAAGATAACAATTACATAACATCCGAATACAAGCCAATAGTTTCAATATAAAATTCTTAAAAATCTAACTAAGAACTTAACCTTCTAATGTTCAATGAAGCATATAATCCATAACACTATGATGTTTACAAAAGTTCAAGGAACTAACTATTTAAGATAAGTAGGCTAACAACTTTATCTTGCATATGAAACATTCTTGTGCATCTCAAAGGACAAACCTAGGGGTGTTAATTCAGTCGGTTCGGTCGGGGATCGGTTAATTCGGTTTGGGCAAATCGGTTTTCCATTGAAGCACTAACCGACCAAAAACCGACCGAATTATAAGATACCCGAAATTGAGCCGACCAAATAGCAGTTCGGTCGATTCGGTTCGATAATCGGTTAACCCGGCAGGAATCATATTCCACCTGTTTGGTTCGGATCGTTTTTTTTTGTCCAAGCGTTGATTTTATAGTAACATTTTTTACTAAAAATACAACTCCTGAACATGAATACATGATGGTATTACCTTCACAACATCTCATTCATAATTCAATAATCCAAACTCCATAAACTGATGAACTTGACAACATAAATTTCAAAGTTCTACAATAAATTCTAAAACTGAAACAGTCCAAATTCCTTAGTCCACAGTCCACACTCCACAATAATTCAACATAGTCTTGACAAATGATAAAAAAGAGTTTAGAAATAAAAAGTCCCAAATCCACAAAAACAGAAATACAAACAACTTGATCATGACAAAGTTTTACAGCAGCATTCCTTTGAACACACCAAAGCTTGATGAATATGTAGCAGCAGCCAACAGGAATGAAGAAGAAACTGGTCATACTTCCTGAAGAAAGAACACACGAGAAAGAACACACCAGACAGTGAAATTTGGCAGTGAAACTCCAAACAGACTTGTCTCCTTCAGAGTAGCATTCGACTTGCTCTGTTAAACAAGAAACAACCACTTTAAGCATACTGAATAACAAATGAAAAAACAAAAGGGGCTAATACTAATCATTACAAGCAGAAATCAAATTAAAAGACATAAAGTACCTCTTTACGAATTGAAAGACTGATCCCGGGATAGATTTCAAACACTCAAATAAAGGTATTTGAACTCAAAGGGAGGAGAAAAGAAAATGCAGAGTTGTTTTCCGCCGCGTCGGCCGCCGATAAATCATGAATCTCCCAACCCTTGCTTCTGGTAAGGGAAATTCACATGTGGTTAATGACAAAAAAAGTTTAAGGGAGCAGAATTGAATCTGAACTAAAGTTACTAAATCCACTTTAAGTATAGCTTCCAATATGCAGCAAATCCGGACACATTCTTGCTAATTCAAGTACATGGAACATAATTATTCATTTCAAACGCAAATCTTCAATTAAACCAAAACCCACAAATGAATCTAAACTAACAGCCATGAAAAATGAAAAACGCAACAACGTAAACAACTTCAAAACTAAAAACCCACCAAAAAAAAAAAAAATTTTCCACCTCAGAAGTACAAAAATAATAATAATAATAATAAATTCAAAACTAGATGGATTCAAATTGCAAATCATACTAGTGCCAATCTTCGCCAAGTAGAGTCGTTTCTCAGGAGCAAAATCACAGACGATAAATCATTCGCCAGAGAATTGGGGAACAGATTTGAACTCAGATCGAAGGAAGGCAGGGCGGGGGAGTTGCTAAGGGAAGAGGAAGAACCGAAGAAGACGGAAGAAAGAAAGGAAAGAGGCGGATCTGTGATTGAATTGGGATTTGGGAATTAGGGTTTGACCGCCGCAAGAGAGAGTCAGAGAGAGGGGAAGACGGAAGAATAAAAGAGAAAAAAAAATGTGAAGTGAAGCCCTAATCTGTATATTTTCTATATATATAAATTATTTTATTATTATTACAAGATTTATTCGGATATCGGGTAATACCCGAATCTCTTTTTCTCACCCGCTCCCCGAACTGATTGGACCCCCTCCATTTCGGTTAAGACCGATTACTTACCCGATCCCCGAAAAACCAAACTGAATGGGCCGAAGAAGGATCGGGTCGGTCGGTTAATCGGGTATACCGGATTAGTTAACACCCCTAGACAAACCTGTTGAACTCTTGTGATTTTAGTCCAGCTCTTGCATACCAACCACTCTTGTGCACCTCAAAGGACATACATGTTGGACACAAGAGCATAGAAGGCAGTGAAGTCGATCAATTGTTTTGCAGTAAGCAAAAAGTTTAAACAATACATATAGCTTTATTGTTTTACTCGAAAAAACAACATTAATGACTGCTAGAATGCTCAATTGAGTAGGGCAATATGAATATGGGTAACGACA